AATTAAATGTTTTATTATCAATTATTGAATAAATTATTTACTTTTGTATTTAAATAATTGAATTCTCGTAGAATTTTCTAATAAAAATCGATTTCAAAATGACTTTCAGTTAAAATTTTGAATAATAATTGAATATTAAAACTATTATAGCATGAATTTATAGAAATAATTATATTTTGAAAAGGCTTCAAATTACAATCCTTAAAATTTTTTGTAAATTTCGTCGATAGAATTCAATCTATTCTTTGAAATAATTTTTGATAAAATCTAATTAATCTTAAAATTTTTATTAAAATTCATCGAAAGAATTCAGTTGTTTAAAAATTTATTGATAAAATTCTTTATGAGAATTCAATTTTTGAAAATTAATTAATGAAATCCGTATATAAATGTAATAGAACATTTTTTTGAGCATCTAATCCTTTTTAGAGTGATTCAGAATAATCTTTGGGGTCAGAGAAAAAGTCAAAACTTTGCCTGGAAATCAGGGAAAAGTTTTGAAGTGAAAGTTTTATTTGCCTCAAATAATAATTTTTTTGTTCTAAATAAAATTCTTACATAAAACAAATAAATAATTTACTATACTCGCAGTGACAAATACATAAGTTTATTTGACTTAAATAAATTATATTTGAATTTAAATAAAACATTTATCCACATGAAAAAAAATTGACCACGAAACAAAAAAATTATAAAAGCAAAAATCTAACTATAAAAAAATAAACCACTAGATCTAGAATGAAAAAGAGATAAATTAATTTTGAACTTAAAAGGAAAAAACGTTGGGGAGTTTTGTTTAGCGATTTGTCTAAACTGTTTTTTTGTGATTCGATTGACAGGAGAATGAACGTTGAAAGGCATAGTTGGAGATAAATTGGTACAATGACTGTGTAGTATATGTGGAGGGAAAAAAAAGAGCCCAGTAGGAAGCGAATGTCCTCTCTTTTGAGAAAAATGTCCTCTTTTAGAGGGTAAACGAATGACAGACGGGTGAAAGAAGTGGCCAATGTGGGCTGTTTTCGACGTCTCATGTGACATCGAGCGTCGAGCCACTTTTGTTTTCGCGTCCCTTTGATTGAGTACCTCAGGTTTCTTTTGTCTCACCCAAAAAACCTTTACCAAATTTCACTTTAACTTCCCTCTCATCATCCTAGACGTTTTGCATCGAAAATCAAAGCAATCTCTCTCTCTCTCTCTCACTCTTTTTTTGCTTCGCGCGGGAAAAGATCTTCATACAACAGTTTAAAGACCAAAACTTTATTTTGCTTTCGAAATAAATTAATTCTAATACTTCTTGATTTAAATTTAAATAATTAAAAATTTTAAATTGAAAAACAGGTGATGATAACAAATTAAAAAAAAAAAGATTACAAGAATGGACCACTTGCACCCGAGTCGAAAATAAGGTCAATTTAGGCCGAAAGGGACACCTTTGATCTCGAGATATTTGCTCCATGACCGGAAAACGAGAATACTAACGGGGGCTGATGATGATCGCTGGACCAGTTTTCTCACCTGAAATGGAGCGCGCTCTATTTTTCGTCGAGAAGACACAAGGGTCATCTCTTCAAAAATGAGGAACCTGTCTGTTCGCGTGGCGTTCAATTCTCTCTCCCCACTTAATGTACACACTTTTTCCCGTTTAAAGGCTCGTGCCAAAAAGAGAGGAGAGGGACAGACGGGAGAAACTGGTCCACACAGGATTCGAAAAAAGGGGATGCTGCTCTTCTCGTATACACAACAATTGACCAGTGTCCAAACTTAAGGGCAAATTTAGACCGCAAAATGATCCCAGTTACCCTTTGACTTTTAAAAATATATCTAAAAATAAGGGGATGATCCCTCTTCGAACTTTAAGAGACATTTCATCACATTAGGAATTAGTTTTTTTGTCACAGAACATTATCGCTTTACTCTCTGAATCGAATTTAATGATTCTCTGCTCTCTAAAATTGAATTAGTTCAAATTTACTAATTGCCTACTCTATAAGTCTCTTCTAAATCTCAATTAATTAAAAATTTAACTGATTTAATTTAGTAAATTACTTTTTGTTTTCGAATCCATAAAAAATTTACTGATTCAACACTTGAAAAAAATTATTAATTGATGAATCAGTAAATTTGAATTCAAATTTGTTAAAAATTTTACTAAATTCAAATTTAGAGAGTAATTTAACAGCAGATACAAATTTTTAATTGATGATTCAGTAAATTTCCATTTAAATTAAATTTAAATTAGTTAAAATTTACAAATGGATGGGGTCGATAATGTAAATTCAATTCCACTTTCACTTTTACTTTACCTAAATTAATTTTCATTTCTACTTTCACTTCTACTTTTACTCTCACTTTCACATAAATTAATTTTCACTTTCACTTTCACCATAATTAATTTTCACTTTCACCTTAATTAATTTTCACTTTCATTTTCACTTTTTAGACTTCAGTTTTGTATATATGATAAAAATGTTCGAACTTTGTCTTCAATTTTACGTTAAAATTACTTCGCGCTGATTAATGATATTTCTATACATTAAAAAACTATTTTAAACAAAATTTTAATGCACATTAAAATAAAATTGAGAGTCTAATGTTTAATTTACCCATATATTATTTATAAAAAGGAGAAAAATTATTGCTATTAGGTATAAATAATCTAATTTTGTGTGCTTGACTCAGTAAACATTCGATTTCTTCTCCAAAACCTTGTTTTTTATTAAATAATTAAATAATTATTTAAATAAAAAGTGAAAATTAATTTAGGTGAAAGTGAAAATGAAAGTGAAAATTAATTAAGGTGAAAATGGAACTGAAAATTAATTAGGGTGAAAGTGGAAGTGAAAATTAATTTGGGTAAAAGTGAAAATTAATTAAGGTGAAAATGGAAGTGAAAATTAATTTAGGTGGAAGTGAAAATAAAAATTAATTTCAGTGAAAGTGAAAATTAATTTAGGTGAAAGTGAAAGTGGAAGTGAAATTACATAATCGACCCCCAGAAGATGTTTTTAATGGATAAATCAATAAATTTTAATTTAAATCAGTTAAAATTTACTGATCCAACAGTAGAAAAAAATTTTTAACTGATGAATCAATAATATTGAACTGATTCAAAAGCAAAAAATCAGTCACTGATTCAAAAGTAAATCAAACTGATTCAGAATTAAAGTGTAGCTTGTCGACTCTAAAACTTTAGTATAATACTCTATAAATCTAAATTATCTACTGAAAAATCGCCAACTAATTAAAATTAGTAAAAATTTCTACTAATTTTTAGGAAAATATATTTTATCCATCTTATTTTTAAAAACTTCAGGGGCAAGGGAGCAGGGCAGAAACTTGAAAAGAAATTAATTTGATTCTAATAAACTGTCTACTTTATAAATTTGTTTATCATCAAATTAATGTTTATTTGAATCAAATAATTTTTTATTTAAATCAATTAAATAGTATTTGCTTCAAATACTGGAACTATTAATAAAATACTGGTATAATCGGTTATTTAAGTCAAATCAAAAAATAAATAAATAGATTTGTATGTGAAATAATAAATACTTTGCAATAAAATAAATGGCTCAGTGGATTAGCTCGCGTCATTCTACGACAGGTTCTAGAGGTTCAAGTCCTACCGGCGGAACAAAGAATTTTTTTCGCATTTAAAAAATATTTCGGAAATAAAATAATTATTAAAATATCAAGTGCTAGAAAAATATGATAATAGAAAATAATAATGTTAATAGTACCTAAGACTGTCGATAAAACCGGTTGTACTCAGGAGAGGTTTTCTACAGTTTCCCTCTTCTCTGGCGAGAATTGAAAATAAATTAAAACTATGAAAAAATGGGGAACTAACTTTTCGGGGGCTCAAAAAAAAATAATATAATGTAAATAAATATAAAAAATATTAGTAAAATTACTAATCATATGAATAAAATTAACAATTACAATTATAATGATGATCAAAAATTAAATTGTGAATCAAATAATTTTGTAGCCCTCTACAGGTAAAAGTGGGAATTAACAGAAACTGTCAAAGGAATTAAAGTCACTCAATCGATAAAGCAAGAGGGTAAAGAAAGGGAATTTTATAACAAAAATTGTAAATTGTGAAGAAAAAATTAATTTGTCTAATTTGATAAAAAATTCTCTTGACAATTTTAACTATACATGCAAAAATGATAAATTATCATTAGGACCATGTACCAACAATTGATAACAACTGAACCTAGCAATTGAATTATCTATCGAGAAACACGTTTATTCACTGTAGATAAAGTAGATTCTAAACTTATACCCACTAAGTAACGTTACCAATTGTGGTACTTCATTTTTCTTTTCCCATAAAAAGATATTTTTAAAAAAAAATAAACAACACTTTTTACATATCAGCAAAAAAATTTTCAATAAACAACAAAGCTAAAACACTACATACTACAGTTGAAAATAATTATCGAACCATTTTCCGTTTCCAAGCAACAAGAGCAATACAAATTTTGATATCTACATTGCAGCCTGATTCAAGATACACGTTGACATTTCTTTTTAAGTAGTCACGGTTGCTCCTATGTCAGACCAACTTACCTCTGAGCCGATATATTTCATTAAAAGAAAAAATATATACATTTACAAAATTTTTTCAAACAATTATGTTAAATCAAAAGTCTGGTGAAATTTCCGATTCTAAGCTAATGCAGGAGGAACAGCAGGAAAAGTTTCCAAAGAAGATATCAGAATTAAGAACAATTTTAAAGGTTTAAAAATGAATTTTTTTTAAAAAGAACATGAGAAACAAATGTGATTTTTTTAGTTTTCTTTGCTTTCTTCTTTTCTGTTTTAGGACACTGAGAAAAATTTGACCATTTGTGAAGAACTTATTACGACCTACATTCAAAAGAGGTCACAGGTATGTTACAATAAATTTTTATTTTTTCTATCAAAAATTTATAAAATATATTTAGAATTTAAATATATTTATATTAAATATATTTATATTATTCCTAATATGTCAATACGATTACAAATCTATCAATTCAATTACAATTCTATCAATTCGATTACAATTCTGTCAATTCAGTTACAATTCTATCAATTCAGTTGCAATTCTACCAAAGAAATTGCAATTCTATCAGTACCATTATAATTCTATCAATATCATTACAATCCTATCAAAATTGTTTCTAATTTATTATAAAATTATCAACGAGATTATTTAATATACACAAAATACTATCAACTAATTGAGTATTTTATTTTATTTATTTTGAATATTTATTTACTTTTAATTTTTATTTTTAATTTTTATTTTTCCATTTTATTTTTATTCATATTCTATTGGAAAATGATTATCGAAACTAACGATTATAAAATTATAAATATTAAAGGAACTTTGACAAAATGAATACAGAAGGAAAAAAGATTTTTCCCTCTTTCTATAAATGAAAATGATAAATTAGAAGTAATTATTATTCATCATCTCAGGAGAATTTATCTTCTATGATGCCAACCACTAAGACCATAGCCTCCGTATATTAAGGGCACTTTTGGATACCAAGCTCCGTGCCAACCTAAACTTGCACCACTCAATCCACCCAGTCCACCCCATCCACCCCAACCGCCGCCGCCGCCCCATCCTCCATGTCCATATGAAAGTCCATGGCCCAAACCAATGCCGTGTCCTAAACCAATGCCGTGTCCTAAACCAATGCCATGTCCTAAACCAATCCCATGGCCTAAATTAAGTCCATAGCCCCATCCAGAACTAGCTCTAAAAACAAAAGTAGAAAATTTATTTTTCTCCTTCCCTGAAAATCGTATCTTTTGCAATTATTTCTTTTAAGCCAAGCGAAAATACAACTAGAAATAATATTTTATTAATAGAGTTATATATTTAGGCATCCCAAACAATTTATTTAGCCAAACTTTCATCTGAAGGAATTTTTAATAAAGTAGTGTTTTTTTAAAATATATCTTGGTTAAAATTTGTATTATCTTAGGGGAATTATTATTGAACGAAATTGTTAAAAGACATTAAAGAAATTGTTAATTCATTAAACATAATTTTTTATTTATACAATTTCTGTTGAATAAATATGATATTTAGCCAAATTTGCATTAAAAAGAATTTTGATTCAGTACTATTTTTACTATTCTTTAGTAAATAGCCACATTTTTTTAGCCAAAGTTTTGCTGAAAATTCCCTTAACAAACTTGAAAAATTCCCTTAACTTATTTAACCAAATAAATATTAAGCAGAAATTTTATTTAGCGAAATCGTTATTTAATCAAATATTAATTCAACATAATTTCTATTTAACACAATTTTCATTGAATAAACCTGATATTTTGTCAAATTTGCATTTAAAAGAAATTGTTAACTAGTAATATTAATTTACTAATTTTTGGCATAATTTTTGCTAAACAATTCCTTTAACGAAATTATTAATTGACCAAATTTGTATTAATCAGAATTTTTATTCAATAAAACCGTAATTTAAACAAATATTCATTAAACATAATTATTATGTAACTTAATTTTCTTTGAACAAATTTGTTATTTGGTCAAAATTTTATATAAAAGAATTTCTATTCAATAATACTATTTTATTATTTTTTGGCCAAATTTTTGCTTAAAATTCTTTTAGGGGAATAGTTAATTAACCAAACTTGTATTAAATAAATTTCTCACTTAACGAAAACGATACTGAAGCAAATACTTTTTAAACATAATTTTTACTTGACACAATTTTTTTTTGAAGGAATGTTTTATTTAACCAAATTTGAATCTAAAAGATTCTCTATTTAGTAGCGCTTTTAACCGAATTTTTGCTAAATACTCCCCAAATGGAATTAATAATTAAAAAATTTTGTAATAAATTGCATTTTATAAATTAATTAATTAAAATTCTATTACATAGTTCTTTTAGCCAAATTTTTGCTTAATAACTTTCTTAACGATATTATTAATAAAACAATTTTTTTGTTCAATCGAATTAAATTAATAAAATAATTAATATAAATTTAATAAATTAAATTGTAATAAATTTAACTAAAACCGTTATTTACCCAAATATTATTAAACATAATTTTTGTTTAACACAATTCCCATTGAACAAACCTGTCATTTAGCCAAATTTTTATTGCAGAAAATTTTTTATTATATAGAATTTCAATTTAACCCCTTCACAGTCGAGTGAAAATAAAGTTTTTGTGCCATAAGTGTTCAAAAAAAAATTTTTTTTTTAAAATCATGATATTGTCATATTATATGTTTTTGAGGTCACTGATTCAAAATCCGTGGTCGAAAAGCCAAAATTCAAAATGGCGGCTTCAAAATATCCACCAAAAAAAAATTAAAAAGTTAACGAATTCGTTAACTTAAAAATTTTTTTTTAGCTTTTTTAAAGCAGCCATTTTAAATTTTGAATTTTTGACCACGGATTTGGAATCAGCGACCTAGAAAACCCCCGAGTAGGCATTTTAAGGTATTTTTAGACAGATTCGTTAACTTAAAAATTTTTTTTGGGCGCCATTTTGAAGCCGCCATTTTGAATTTTGAATTTTCGACAACGGATTTGGATTCAGCGACCCCGAAAACCCCCGAGTAAGGATTTTTAGCCATATTCGTTAACTTTTAAATGTCTTTTTTTTCGATGGCCCTATAGAGCCCATGGACATACAGGGCACGACATTTTTATGGCTCTATAGAGCCCACTGACAGTGAAGGGGTTAAAAAAATTTTTACTCGACGAAATTTTTATAAAAGAAATTTTTCGTTAAATTAATTTTCATTTAAAACAGGATTTTTATTTTGTTAAAAGTTTCATTTTTGTTTTTCACAAGAAAAATAATAAACTTTTTTTTAAAAAATTTCTTTGTTGAGAAATAGTGAGTAGAGAAATATTATAAAAAATTTTCTATTCAAAAATTTGTAAATATTTGTTAAAAAAGTATTTCTAGAAAAATTTAGAACAAAAAATTTTTTTTTAAGTCGCAGATAAATTTTACTAAAGTTTAAAAAATACTTTACGTGAAACAGCGATTAGTTTCTTTAGAATAGCGAAAGTTAATTAAAATAAATGAAAATTTCGTTAATTTAGGGAAATTTGTAGCTGTTCCAGACGAAGATTTTTCTGAGTGTGGGAATATTATAAAAAAAAACATGTTTAATGAAAAATGCAATGAATAAAAATTTTAATAGAAATTCGACTTAAGAAAAGTTAAATGTAAATTACAACCTAACAAAAAATAAATCAAAAATTATGTTTCATACACCCAGAGAAATATTTTATTTGAAGCAAATATAATTTATTTGAATCAAGTAAATGTATATTTGTTACAGAGCATACTAAATTGTTTATTTGTTTTAAATAAAAAATGTATTCAACACAACAAAATTATTATTTGTAGCAAATAAAACTATTACTTGAATGAAATAAAACTATTACTTTAATCAAATAAAATTTATTTGCTCCAAATGAAAATTATTTAAAACAAATAATTAATGTAGCCGGCTTTTAGTCAAATAATATTTTTTCTGGATGTGAAAATTTAGTAAAGTAGAGAATCTGTTATAAAAAAATTAACAAGTTTCTGAATTTTTTACTAAACCAAAAAATGCAAAAAAAAACTATAAAAAAATGTATAAAACACAGTATAAAAAATCGTATAAAATACAATATAAAAAAGCTACAAAATATTTTACAATACAAATATTCGGCTAAATAAAAATTACACCAACTAAAATTCAGCTCTGAAAAAATTTGCAAACGCTCAATTTCCATCTAACTTCAATAAAAGACTACATAATATTTTACACCTAGACAAGAAATTACTCAATTTTAATTTTATAACTTTATTTACAACATTGTGAAGAAAGAAGTAAGTGTACATCTACAATTTTTATTTAAAAACCACTCCCCTCTTCTTCATCGAAAGAAAAAAACTAATTCGACTAATTTTCAAAAACAAAAATACACCAAAATGTACGAAAAGAATTTGAAAAAAAATCCCATAATAAAATCTATTTTCGCAACAATGACACAATCACTAAATAAAACAATACACAGTGTGCTAATTAAAGAAATTACTAAAATGAAACATAACTTTTTCTACAGCACAATAAACGTTCACTGTCAATCGATTTTTTTCCCTTACCCCTATATATTTACCAGTTTTATTATCTCCTGGACTTTGTATTGTTTTTTACTACTTTCCAATAAGAAAGAATGTCCCTAGTTTAGAATGTGAAATGTTAAACATCAAAATTTGTACGTTATTAGACACTTACTTCTTTACTTTCGCAATTTAGATTGTCTCTATATATACAAGATTGCCGTTTATATTTTCGACATTCCTTTTATTTCTTTCTTTATTCTTTTTTCTTTTTTTCTTTATTCATTTTTACTTTATTCTTTTTTTATTTATCCTTTTTTTATTTATTCTATTTTTATTTATTTTTTTTCTATTTAATCTTTTTTCATTTATTCTTTTTTATATTTAAAAAATATTTACACTCTGAAATTAATTCCCTCTGGTGAGATTATAATTTTTAATTGAAAAATTTCGACTGTAAAATTTTTTATTCAAAAATCACACCAATTTGAAATTAATTTCCTCTTGTGAAAATATAATTTTTAATTGAAAAATTTGGATTGTAAAATTTTTTATTCGAAACCAAACCAATTTGAAATTAATTTCCTCCTGTGAAAATATAATTTTTAATTGACAAATTTCGATTGTAAAATTTTTTATTCGAAACCAAACCAATTTGAAATTAATTTCCTCTTGTAAAAATATAATTTTTAATTGACAATTTCGATTGTAGAATTTTTATTCGAAAATCACACCAATTTAAAATGAATTCCCTCTCGTGAGAATATAATTGTTAATTGACAATTTCGGTTGTAAATTTTTTTCACCGATAATAATCATAGCAATTTGCCAAAAAAATATGAAAGTTTAATAAAGAGAATCTGCGGGAAAATTATTTTTATTGACACTTACATAGGCCATCCGAGGCCGCCTGCACCCCACAATCCTAAGCCGTAACTTCTTTTCTGAATTATTTTATCCGCCGAACTTTCCCCGTTGTACGATTCCAAAACAGGAATATCGGATTCAAAATTATTCACCTCCTCGCGATTTGTTGCATCGTCGTAGGTACTGCCCGAAACTAGGACCACTAATAACGGCAAAATTAACTAAAAGAAGAATTTTTTTTTTTTGAAACAAAAAGCACTTTTAGAAAGTGTTTTAAAAAACACTTTTTGTCAAAAACTATTTTCTTTTACTGTGTCAGAGAACTTGATTATTTTCACTATCTAAAAAGGTGGGAAAGAAGAAACTAAAATTTTTTTCGAAATACCAAAAGTGGTGCGAGACAAAAAAAGTGCCCGGAAATTTTTATGTGAAATTCTATCGAATTTGGTATAAATTTTAATCGAAATTTGAAAGTAACTAACAGAGTTTTTACAGGAAAAAAATTTATAACTGAAACAAGGATAAGTTTCTCCAGAATAGAAAAAGAATAATAATAATTATTATTATTATTATTATTATTATTATTTAAATATTAAATTATTATTTTATTATTATTTGCTTCAGTTGAGGAAGAATCTGGCGGACAGTCAAATTAAAAGTTAGTCCAATGTTATAATTTCGTATTTTAAAAAAGAAAAATTAATTTTAAATTTTTTTTAGTGGAAGGGTAAAAATTTATATTTTTAACATTTTAAACAATTAAAAGTTGCATTTGAATAAAAATTATAATTTTTTACAAATAAGAAATATTTGTTAGATTTTATTAGTAGGGAAAGTTTTAACGAAAAATCTGGCGGTCAGTCAAAACTCAAAACAAAAGTTAATTCAATTTCATAATTTCATATTTTAGAAAAAAAAATACTAATGCAATTTTAAGTTTGTTTTAGTGCAAGGACATAGATTTAAATTTGTAAAATTTTAAACAATTAAAAGTTGCATTTGAATGAAAATTACAATTTTTACGAATAAGAAATATTTGTTAGATTTTGAGTAGTAGAGAAAGTTTTAACCAAGAATCTGATGGACAGTCAAAACAAAAGTTAATCCAATGTTATAATTTCGTATTTTTAAAGTAGACAAATTAAATTTTTAATTTGTTTTCCTTGAAGGGTAATATTTAAATTTTTAACATTTTAAACAAAGTTGCATTTGAATAGAAATCACAATTTCTATTAATAAGAAATATTTCTTAGACCTAGGTTATGTATTTTAGGTTATGTTACCTAAATTCTTTCTCATTGACAGAAAATTATTTTAATTTTAATTTAATAATTAATTTAATTATTATTCAAATGCAACTTTTAACTGATTAAAATGTTCAAAATTAAAATCTTTACCCTTCCACTAAAACAAATTTAAAATTTTTTCTTTTACTTTTTAAATACAAAATTATGACATTTAATTAATTAATTTTTGTTTTGACTATCCTCCAAATTCTTCGTTAGAACTTTTCCTACAATAGAAAAACTTATCGCTGTTCCAGCTAAAATTTTTTTCCGAGCACAAATTCTCAAGAGGAATTTCCAAACAATTCAAGTAGAATTTCACTTTTTTCGCAATAATTCTAAACTTAAGTGCAAAATTTTGAAAAAAAATACAAGGGGGAAAATTTTGAGATTTTTTAAAACAATTTTCGATTATTGAAAATTTTGTCAAATTACGAAGGAAAAAAATAGAAAATAATCACTGCACGTACAAATTTTACCGTCTTACCAGGAGCTTCATATTATTTATCTAAATGCAACTTTCAACTGATGTGTGGACTTTCGATTGACAGTTCTTTTATACTATCTTTCCGTTATAAAGTTGCTTGCCAGAATATGGTAAATATAAGAACAAGACTGGTCTCTCGCTTACGTACAAGTACTACTCACCACTCCCGTTTTACTTTACAAACATAACAAACGTAATAAGCATTTCATAAGGGCAGTGACTTACGTGCAAGGTGAAAAAAAATTCCCCACTTGATTTATTTATACTAGAAGTAAATACCATTTTTTTATTCACATCAAGAACGTGATAATTTTTTTAATTATACAAAATCGACAAAAGAAAGGGAATTTTTACATGAATTAAATAATTTTTACCTTTCTACCTAATCTTATCACTATTTAGCGGAATTTCTACTTGAACGGAAATTCTATTTAACTAAAGTTCCATTTAGATTAATATTTAACAATAATATTTAAGTTTGTTCAATTAACAGTAGATTTTTTATTTTTCCAAATTTTCATTTAACAGAATTAAAAATTCTGGTCAACTAAATTAACATCACACTTGGCAACTTTAGCCAAATAAAAATTGCTTTTCCTTACCATTTAACAGAATTTGTATTTAACTAAAGTTCCAATTAATTTTATATTTAATAATTGACTAAATCTTTATTTACTGTTTAACATTTTGTTCTTTTTACAGAATTCTGAGTTTCTAAATTTTTATTTAACAGAATTTTCAGTTGGCTAAATTATAATTTAATACAATTTCTAATTTGAAATTCAATTGTGCAGAAAATTGGCTAAATAAAAATTTGCACTTCTTTTGAATTTTTGTTTAACACAATTCTCGTCAGCAGAATTTTTTACAAGCAAAAGTTTCATTCGGGAAAATTTTCATTTAACAGAATTTCATTTAAAATAATTTTTGTTTAACTGACTTTTTATGTAACAGAATTTTACTTACATAGAATTTTCATTTGAGACAATTCTTCTGTAGGTTTATTCGGAAAAGTAAAAAATTCATCAAATAATAATTTCGTTAAAATAAAAATTAAATTTTACGTAAATTCGAATTTGGAATTTTAGAATAATAGAATTTACATCAAATTTAAAATTTTAAGTAATTTCTATTTTAAAGAAATTTTTATTTGATAAAATTGTTATTTATTCAAATAAACATTTTGTAGAAAGTAGAAACGTTGTAGAATGAAAATTCTAAAAGAACTCTGCTAAATTTGTTAAAAATTTTGAAATTGAAAAATTTGTTAAAATACAAATTCTGTTTGTTCGAAACTCTCTTTATTGAAAATATTTTTTATAAAAATAAACCTTTGAAAAATTGTCTCGAATAGAAATTCTATGTAAGGAAAATTAATGTAAATAAAAACTCAGTTTAATAAAAAATTCTTTTAATAGAAATTCCCCTGAATAAAAATTCTGCTTGTAAAAAATTCTGCTAGTGGGAATTTTGTTAGGTGTAAATTTAAAAGAAAAGAAAATCTTTATTTAGCTAATTTTCCAAATTTCATTGTATACAGACTCTACTATTAGAAATCCTTCATTATGAAATTTCCCTAAAACAAAAATTATTTAAAATAAAAATTAAATTTCATCTAAATGTCATTCAACAAAAATTTTACCAACAGAAATTCTTTCTAATAAAAAATAACAAAAATAAATAAAGAATAAAAATATGTAAATTAATAATAACAGAAATAAATAATAAAAATTCCTTCTAATATAAACTCGGTTCGAAAGAAAATTCAATTGTAAAATAAATTCGATTAAAAAAATATTTTTCATCTAATTTACAAACAGTCAGAAGTTCGATATTTGTAATTATGTCACATTAAATTGATTACTTGAAGAAATGTTTTTTTATTGTAATTGCATCAATCGAATTAGAATAAGAAATAAAATGCAAATTAATGACTATTACAACTGAAAATTTTCAACTCTATTTAACGGGAGAGAACAAACAAACCATGCTATATAATACTTGAGGAAAAGACTTTCTTTAATCAAGGAGAAATCAATCGGAATCAAACTGTGAGATAACTATTACAAACGATCCGGATATGCGATGGTAATTAAAATATAATCCTATAATGAGTTGTTAAATACTTGACCGAACTTATTCTTATCGAACAAATTACCATCATCGAATTAATTTCCAAGAACAAAATCTCTCAAGATTTTTAATTTTGAAGAACAAAACACTTCTGTTGTAATTCATTCATCCAATTATTAGCCAAATTTAACTAATTTATTGCTAACAGTAAATTACCAAATGTAAAAATTATTAAACTTAGATATTAAGTTAATCAATTATTAATTAACTATGTTATTAATAATTATTAATTTTTAATTAATTAATTATTAATTCATATTTTATAAATAAAATACGTAATTTATTTAATCAATTTTTTTACTAATTAAGAATTAGAGAGTAAATTATCAATTACACTGGAAAAAAATTTATTTGTTTCAAATAAATATTTACTTGAATTAAATAATTTTTATTCAAATCAATTAAATGGTAGGATTTGATTCAAATACCGAATTTATTGATTCAAATACAATTACTTTTGTGATTTAAATAAAAATTATTTGATTCAAGTAAATATTAATTTGATAAACAAGTAATCGGTTATTTGAGACAAATAATTTTTTTTTCAGTGCAAAAGATGTGAATTCCCTATTAATTACTTAATTAACATATTAAAATCTGTATACAAGTTGAAACCGAAAAATAATTATAATTATATATTCAAAAAAGAACAAATACACGAAATTTTTCTCGATTTTTAATTATCTCAATAGTGACATAATAAAGAGGGACAAATTTCAGTTGATTTCATGGAATTTGATACCGAAGCTGTTTCCTGCTTTCTAGGGCAATAAAAAATAAAATAAGGAAGTTTAATCGATTTATCACTGTTTAACCACACTAACTTGAAGGCACTCGTAACAAAACGTAATATTTGAAAAAAAAATATTTTTTCTTTATATCAATAATACACTTCATTTAATATTATCTATTATTCAGTTTAATATTACATATTCCATGAGTTTCCTTTCTTTATGAATTTAAAGACATCGATTTCAATTTACTCAGCACGGAAAAAATGAATTATACAAAAAAAAAACTTTTTGTAATTTTCTGTACTATATTTCTTATAGTTCCGTAAAAATAATTATTTTATTTATACAGTAATTTGTAGATTATTATTTTTTTATATAGTTATAGATATTTTTTATAGTGCCTATATAGTAACTTGTTTTATATTATATCGACCAATTTAAAATATTTTATTATTACATGTACTTTTTTATGATTAGAAAAATATTACGTGTTACAAATGACAAGTAATTGAAAAAAAAGTTGATTGTATTTTTTTTCATGGTAAGTTTTTTTATAAAGAAAGGCAAAATAAAAAAAAAAGTAAATAAATAGAATTTAGCATCAAGAATTGTTAAAAAAATATTAAGTTATTACATATTTCACGTTTTTTACTACCACTGTCTCAAATAATATTAATTATTGATTGAAGAAGAAGTATTAATTTAATTATTAGCTGAAGAAGATAACAAATATTAATAATATTAATAATAAATAAATAAACAATATTAAAAATAAAATGCTAATTCATTTTACTAAAAAATTAGAAAACATTTTTTACTCAGTAAAATTTAAATTTACCAATTATTTTACTAATAAGTGAAAAATATTTACTAAAATAATAAAATTTGACTAATTTATTTTTATAAGAATTAATAAAAAGTTTTACTTATTTTTACCAATTTTTATTTTTGGTCAATATAATTTAAAAAAGTTAAATTATAATTTTTTTTCTTTAAAAACGCTATTAAAATCAAATCTAATTCGGTTCAATCTATTTTTTATTTAATCTCCATTAAAAATCCATTTTCCTACCAGGTTTCAATTCTTTAGGGCAAAATATATGTGTCTGGAGAAGGGAGGACGATTTTTTCAAAAATTTTCTGGTTTTTTATCGAAAAACCATGTAAAAATCATAATTAATCAAATATAATCATGTTCGGCTAAAATCAGGGAGTGGGGGGAGGCTTTTTCATATACGGACACGCAATTAAATCCATAAGGGTTCCTTCACCGTGAATTTGTGATAGGAACCCTAAAAACAATTTTTATAAATTGTAATAAAAATAAATAATAATAAATTATAAATAAATAATAATAAATAAATAATAATAAATAGGACTCACCAATCGTTGTACGAAGAAAACTTTTTCACTGCGTTCTCCTTTTTTTTGCACTTTCCTCTTCTTTATTTAGTCCTATAATCACAAAAGAAAAATTATCACTAATTTAATTAAGAATATTTTATGGTTAGAAAAATATTACGTATTACAAATAACAAATAAACGAAAAAATATTTGATTGATTTTTTTTTCAATATTAGATGAATTATTTTTATTGAATGAATCAGAAAACATTTTGTCCTCTTAGCAAAATTTAAATTAATTACAATTTTAATTATAAAAATTAAAATAAAAATAATATAAATTTTAATTATAAAAAATATATTTTTATTTACCAATTGCATATAATTATACTAATTAATGAAAATTGTTTAGGCTAAAAAAATAAAATTGATTACTACTCGATTTCTATTAAAACAATTAATAAATTTTATCTACCATTTTTATTTTACTTTCTTATTTTATTGAATTATTAAATTTGAAGAATAACAACGTTTTTACTAATTTAAAAATTAATTTCATTTTACAGACTTTCAACAAGTGAAATGAACACTAAAATTTATTGTCAAGGTCATAAACTTGTAACACGTATTTAACCATTGATATTGAAACAATAGAAAATATAACAGTTGCAATATAATCAACATTTTTACAGTTTCACTTATTTAAATTGGCGAGTTAAGAAACAAATCTTTAGAAACTATTAACTATATAGAAACTTTTATCATTCACAGTTGATTTATTTACATTGGCAAATAACTTCACATACTCAACATTTTTCACCGAATTTTTATTCGGCGAAAACTGTTGCTTATCTTCTAAAAAAATTTAAAGAATTAAATTAAACATTTTAAGAAAAGGAAAAAATTATTATCGCTTTCATAATAATACAATAACAATGATAATAATTATTATATTATTATTGCTAAATTCTTTTAATTTATTTATTACATTAAAATTACTATTATTTTTTTTATTATCATTACCAAATTTGTGAAAAACGACTTCTAAGTTTAAAGCCATTCGAAACAGCTCATAGTAATTTTTTTCGCATAATTATTACTCTCCACCCTTAAAAAGGAAAAAAAAACTCAATAACCCTAGAAATTGCTCACTAATATATGATAATTACGTAACGACCTTTTACACGGATCTGTGAACAGCATGTGCAATGCGCATTGCATTTTTTTTCACAGTTCACTACTGTTCAGCAAGGTTTTGCTTAAGGTCCCACAAAAGGAAAACTAATAACGTCGTCGCGAGGAAAACTTTCTCCGCGATATAAAGCAGGTTCGATTTACTTTCGTAAGTAAATCCAAACTTAGATATTCAACTAATAATTTGTCTTATTCAATGAATTCAATCCTAAAAATTAATTAATAACCATCACAAATTATCTATAATAACAAAAATAATAACAATTATCATAATAATAATAAAATAACAATTCTAATAATTACAATAATAAGTATATATTATTATCCTATAATTATAATAATTATAATAAAAATAATAATATAAATAATAACAACAATAAAATAAGAATCTAATAAAAAAGGAAGCATATAATTTCACTTTGATGCATTTCCAAAAAATAAAAATTGACAAATACAAAGGCGAGAAAAAATAATTATTCCATTTATGGATATTTTTTTCTCCTGCAACATCTATAATCGAAAATGTTTTATACTTATTAAACCATAAAGTTGTTAATAAACAATAATCATTAAAAATAAATGCAATATTTAATACAAACATAAACAAAATTATTTTCTCCTTTGATTAACGTCGTTAATCAATAATTTTTTATGACAACAGAATTTTATCATCACTATTTTTTCCCTCACTTTTATTCCAAAAACTTTCCTATCTTTTGCAATATTGAAATATAATTTCATGCGGAAAAATTGAAATGAGACATCTATTTTTATATTCCATCAAGTTATAATTACATTTTTCAATTTTTATGAAAATCACCTAATTTTGAAACTAGGTAATCATAAAATAATAATATGGATACAGAAATAAAAAAATTGTACCTAATATTAGTCGATTTCTGTTTAATTCAATATTAAATCAAAAAAATCTAATTGATTTTAAAGAAGAAACTTGATAGGAAAATCGTAACAGCATTAAAGATGACATAAGCCATAATGAACCGATTTATACAAATAAACGCGTGCTTTAAATTTTAATGCATCAATAAATCCTTTCACTTCCAGACAGCGAAAAAATACAATCGAATGATGGACAATATCGCAAAAAAGTGAATCTGAATTTTTTTTCCTTTTATTTCTATTATTGCAAAATTGTGATATTTTTTTAAAAAACTATATGAAAAGTAGAAAACAATAACTCAAATAACTATATATAATTATTTTTCTAAAAATCTATTCTACTTTTTAATTTCTAAACATTTTGGTTTAAAATTTTTCTAATGCTCCATTTATCTCAATGACTAAACGAACCTTTTATTTTATGTAATTTCATCTACTTTTCAGAACAGAAAATAATTGTAATTTTTTTCCCCACAAAGAAATTCTTAACTAAATATTGACCTTAATTGTCTAAAATTGAGACTAATTAAGCTAAGTTCTGTATATAAACGAAGGTGTATTTACGCTTTCGATTATTAAGTTATAAAACTGGAGGTAAATATCAAGTTCTTTTAGTGAGAGAAGTAATAAAAGATACGAGGAATTTTCAGCCATAAGCAATAATACAATTTTTAACGATTCGACACATTCTCTTAGTCCAATAGATTTTTTTTTTCGTTTACAACCATTGCACCGTCGCGCTTCAGTTCTTTGAAATCAATGGGTAGATCCATGCAATTGAAGAGAAACTCATTGATGGAGTTGACGGTTCTTTTCAATATTATGCAAAAATTTGTCCCCCACCCTCAAATCCATTGTTTATTGCCTTTGCCAGCGACAGTTGTTACTCAGTTTACGAAAAGACTTTCAACCAACAAGTACACCTCTCTTGGACCAATCTCTAACTCTATTGTATTATTATCTCACTTCTTTAATTCCCTCAACTTTTTTTCCCTTAATAATGTCGATCCATTCGCTAATTTGTGCAATAACTAAATAAATATCAAAATTTAAATTGTGATCATAATTATGTGTAGACAAAATAGTGAAGTGATTTCACGAGAATAAAAAAGTGTTTGTAATACCGAGATAGAAAAGATGGATTATAAGATGATAATTGTTTGGATGTTTCTTCTAAATGGTCACGTGTTGGGAATAATTGTACCGATTGACAATTTCATACAACCAACAGAATTCGGAGAAAAGAAAATCACAAAAGATGGGGAGGACATTTTGATTCAAAAAGTTGAGGAAGAAATGTTGGCTCTAAATAGAACAACTGATCCAAGGGATAAAAGGGCTCTTGGTGTGCTTATACAGGGATTAGTTGAAGCACTTGGTTGGAACCCAATGCCATTACAGATAGCATCATTGCCAAATCCACCAGCAACTCCAGCGCCTGTGCCATTTTTTCCAACCACAGCAGCAAAACCTTTGCAACCACAGACTGCAGCTGCAACCCCAGCACAAGCCAGGCAAAGAGAAACACTTCGCTTAACAGGTGTTGTTAATTTTGGAAATAATTCTGATCTTGTTGGACATCTGAAGCAATACGAAACTATATTTCATGGTCCACGACCTACACCTACAATGCAAAGTACACCCCGACCTTCGATACCACCACCTCCGCCTCCACCTCCTCCGCCACCACCACCACCTATTGATGTACCCGACTACGAAATAGATTATGATGAACGGAACAAGCCAATTAGTGCTCCTAATTTAATAGACGTCAGATCGCGTATTAATGAGAATACCAAATCACCCAATCTGATCAAACTCCGTTCGAATGATGACGAAAGTACCAAACCTCCACTCCTTGTACCTTATTTAGTAAAAATCCCCCTACCAATCGCTCCTAATCTTCCACCCCTACTTCCCGTATATCCATTTGGTAAGGATTTTGATAGTAAATTCAAAAATACCGAACAAATCGAAGACGACGATGATGATGATGACAACAAGAAAGTTTTCGATGATATCGATTTCAAGAACGACGAATTTTTCTCCAGAAATGACAAACAATCGGATGATGAAGATTTCGAGTACCGAAACAAAGAAAGTAAAGAAAGCTACAACGAGGAAAGTAAGGAAATTTTTAGTGACAAGGAAGTGATGGATCCCTCCGGTCTCGTTACAGATTTCCCTTTCGAAAATCCACCGAAGAAGGAAAAAATACCCAAATTGTCAAAGAATAAAAACTACAGTAGTGGACCTTTCAACAAAAATAAACAGCAGACTGATGACCATCATTTCGATAGTAAGGATAAGGGAATAAAGAGTGGAAACGAAGCTAAAAATCCGAACTCTAAAGATAGTCGACTAGATTACAATTCACAAGATAACGCACGAGATAACAATTCACAAGATAATCCACGAGATAATAATCCACGAGATTACAATTCACAAGATTACAACTCACAAGAAAGAGTAACTAATTCAAGAGAGAAAGTTGATTATAATTCGCGAGAGAATATAAATTCCGACACAAGGGAAAAAAATGACTCCGATTCTAAAGAATTCTACGACGATTCGAGAGAAAATGTCAGTTCCGATTCTAGGGAAACCTATGACAGTGAATCACCAGAGTCATTAGACGATGATAATTCCGAGGAACAGTACGAAGATAAATCATCAAATTACGACGACGACGACGAGAATGACAGTAGAGCCAATGAAAGATACAACGACGACGAATCATCCTCAGAAGAATATTCCAAAAATCCTTCGCAAGAATCAACAGACTATGCTGATTACGAGGAAGGATCATCCAAGTACAAAAAACCAGAAGAAGAAAAAACTCCCAACAGTTACGAATCCACGACAATCAGTTACGATAACGAAAAAACAACCGAAAATTACGATATTCCGTTCAATACTAACGAGTATCCATCGACAGTCCTACCGATAAATTACGATCGCGAGAAAAGTAGAGCAAACGAAATTCTCCGTAATAGTTACGGCGAGAGTCTTGAAAAGCAAGGAATCGTCGACGACAAGGTAGCTGATTATTTCACAATGTTCAAGAATCCCGACACTGGTATTTACGATATCAACAAAATCCAAACTACGGAAGCAGAGACATTGAGAAGCAGAAAAAAAATTGATAACCCCAAAAAGGAGAACTACATCCCCGCTGAAAATAAGTACGAAGAATATGAACTCGAAGAAAAACCAGAAGTAACAAGTAAAAACACAAAGTTATCAAAAAAAGTTTTTACCGAAGCGAAATCACTTCCTGATTCGAATTCAAAAAAAGGAGGAAATTCAAAACATCCGAGAAAGCAGTTTAGTTTGAAAACGTACAACAATGGAGATAAGTCAGTGGCTAAAAATGCAAGTAGTATAATTTCTGAATACGATAAACCGTTTAGAAGACGTAATGGTCAATCCGTTTCTAAACAAAATTCAACTATAGTTCCGAATAAAACTGTTAAAAATTCAAGAAAAATTTCCGGTTCCTCATCAGCGACGACAACAACCGAAAAATCACAAATTGAAACATATAGACCATCGGCGAGTAAACGAAAAAAGTCATCAAGGCATCAGTATAACAACACAAGTCCTGTTGCACACGAAACAAAGCAAGACAGAGTAGTACAAATTCCTAGAAAAGGCAACAGACATAACAACCATGATAACAAAGAAACGGTTTTAGGGGAACTTCAGGAAGAATACGTAACATTTACTCCTAGAAACGAAAATTTTGTCCCACCAACTAGAGAGACAATTCCAATAAATTACATATCACCTGGAACTCAAGAATACCAGAATGTGTTTCATCAAACAACTCCTTATTACCCACCAACTTATGAGACAATAGCTCCTGAACATTGGATACTAAGACAATATGAACCAAATGAAAAGCAATATCAACAGTATCCGTTCCCCTATCCATCAGCATCATCACCAAATGTTGAAATCAAAAAGAACTACATTCACCTTCCTAATGAGCATTTAGCAGAATTTAACATCTTCAACAGTTCACATCCTAAAGAAAACTACAGAAACACAAATACAGAAAACTATAGAAATACAAATGGAGAGAACTATAGAAATCCAAGTGCTGACAACTACAGGAATGCGAATACAGAAAATTACAGAAATGCAAATGCAGAAAACAACAAAAATACAGATGCAGAAAACTATAGAAATATAAATGCAGAAAACTATAGAAATACAAATGCTGAAAACTACAGAAATGAAAATGCAGAAAATTATAGAAATACAAATGCAGAAGACTATAGAAATACAAATGCAGAAAAAAATAAAAATACAGACAAGAATAGAAATACAAATACGGGCAAGAGCAGAAATACAAATGCAGACAAGAGCAGAAATACAAATGCAGACAAGAACAGAAATACAAATACAGACAAGAACAGAATTGCAAATAAAGACAAGAGCAGAAATACAAATCCAGACAAGAACAGAAAAAATGTAATACAAGGCAGATTACCAGCTAGAGTAAATAAATACAAAACTCAAAAAAAATTACCAGAATCAGCAGTGGAATCAAGGGAAAACAATTACAGAACACCAGCCGGTCTTCCGGAAAAGCTGACAATAAAAAATCTTCACGAAATCGAAGACAAAGAATTTAGAGCATGGCCCTCGCCGTTCGATTACGTTTTTGATGGTACTGTGACTACAAATGTGGTACGTCCCGTAACCTATCAGCCCTTAACTGCTGTTCTCAACCCTTACGAACAACCAATTTTTACAACACCCATAACACACTATTCACTGAGTCGAAGATCCTCGAAAGACAAAGACTTTGAAAAATCAGAAGGAGAGTATTCATCTCAACAAAATAGTGATACTGATGGTCATCAAAGAAGAATCCCTCAAGAAGAGGGATTTGCTAAAGTGGAAAGGGAAAACTATCCATTAAGCATACTTCCCCAAAGAGGTGAAAACAGAGGAGAAACCAGAGGTGGAAATAGAGGAGAAAAACGAGGAGTAAAAGGAGGGGAAAATAGAAGAGTAAACATAAAAGAAAATAGAGGAGTATATATAGGAGAAGCAGAGAGAAACAGAGGAGTAAGCAGAGAAGAAAACAGAGGAGAAAAAAGAGGAGGAAACAAAGAGAAGTATCCTTCACATTCCGATGATGTAACTGCTTACGAATACGAAACATCTGGTCCAGAAACTGAGAAAACTTCTTCGTCCTTCATTGATCCTCACAATCTTCCTGTCGGTGGTGTTCATTCCCAACATTTCTATCAACCATCTCAGTCGTTTATTAAAACAGTAAGCACTGTCAAGTTACCAGCAGCAAACGAGGATTCTTCTTTTAAATTCGAAACAGCGACAACAGTGCCAATCGAACAAAAATTTAGACGTGTCGAACCAATTACATCAACAAATTGCTCACAAATTTCCACTACGAGAAATAAAAATCGAAGAACCGCAAATTGCAGAGAGGGAAGAAAATTAACAGCAACAACGACAGCAAGGACCAATCAAAAAGAGAGGAATGACAGTCGAGAAAGAGTGCTACGAAAAAGAATGAGAACTACAGGTAAAGAATCAAAAAATTTTTAAGTATAAAGGAAAAAAATTTTAAAGACACATGATTATAAGTTATAAATTTTGAAAGTAAACCACTTTATAATAAGAGGGAATCTGCGAATGGACCTAAATTGATGATTGCACCGGAAGTCACCAGTTATTATGATGACAAGTTCCAAAGGAAACGGAAAGTGAAATAGATAAAGTTAACACTAACCAATTATAGAAATTAGATCTTTACTTTGGTCACTGCTCTCAAAAAACTCTAAACCCTCAGGAGGTTTTTTAAACTGGTTCTGAATTTCTAAATAAATTTAATCAACTATTTAAACATTACAGACAATATACAATACAATTAATTATTTATAATTATATTATACAATTATTATTATTATATAATTATAATAATATATAATTATATAATTATAATAATTTGTAATATTAGGTATGTATATAATTATAACCATTCAATTATAGTTATATACAACATAATTTATATAATAAAATTGCTGTATTAAAAATTTCAGATTAAAAAAAAAAATGAATTCGTATTTATGTTTCAGGAAAAACGGGAAGAAACGATGCGAAAGAATGAACTGGAAACAAAAATGACGGAGGTATTGGAAAACTTAAAAACCAGATTGCTAGTCGAATGATTATGAAAAAGATGTGATAGATTAAAGACGAATTATAAATTATTATCTATTAAATTATAATTTTAACGATTCATAGCTTTTATTATACTTTATTAATTATTAATACTCATCATGTATATGCTTTTGTTAAAAACAAATTTATCTTCGTTTATATTTTGAAAATGTTAATCATAATTAGTTATTTTATATTATAGCATTTTTATAATTTCTTTATATTAATTGTCGCATTATAACTATAAAAAGAAAAAGATATTTTTTTCAATTGTTATTTGTAAATTAGTCATGACAAGAATTCAAGATTGTAAAAAATATAATTAAAAAAAAAACCTGGTAAAATTTATTTCAAAATAGTTGTCAATTTTTTTAAAAAAATATTTTCAAAATCATTAAATCCCCAGAACAATTAACGTAATTAAATAAATTATTAAGTGTTCTAGTCTGGCACTTATTAAAAATACAATTTGTACCAAAATTTAACTCTCAAGGTAAAAAATAATGAAAGTAAAATGTTAAGTAAAGTTATTTTTAAAAAATTGCAATTTTTTTCTTCAACCCGCGACTTTTTAAAGCAATGTGAATTTTCTCCGCCATATTGGATACGCCATTTTTAATTTTGTAAAATTGAGCCTGGCTCATAGTTATTTAATAATTATTATTACTTTTTACAAATTTTGCAATAATCGTTTTTTGTTTATATTGTTCTAATAAGAAATTTATTAAAATATTTATTTATCTAACATTTTATTGTGCTATGAACTTTTTTAGGTTGGTAAAATAAATTTATGGGTCGTTGACGTTTGGAAATTAAAAATATTTAAATTCTCGACATTTAAATTCAAAAGTTGAGTTAAAAAATGTATTGTAATCAGGTTTGCAATTTCTTTTCTTTTTTTATAGTGAAATGTTATTTAAGCCAAATATAATTAATTTGAATTAAAGTTTTAGAATAAATATTATGAAATATAATTATAAACTAAATAAAATTATGTTTGTTACAGAACCTACTAATTTATTTATTGGTTCCAAATTTAGTACAAATAAATAATTTAGAAGGATTCAAATAAATTTTTTCTCTAGAAGTACACGCGTGAAAATTAATTTATGATCAGAATTCTAAAAACTTCAATAAATTATAATAAAATAATAATAAAATGGACTCACCGATCGTTGTACGAAGAAACTTTTTCACTGATTCTTCCTTTTTCCTTGTCTCTTCTCTATTTAGTCCTGTAATCACAACAAAAAAATTGTTAACACTCTTTTTGAGGATAATTTATGTACAGCTAGACCAATACAAGAAAATAAATTTTGAAGGTCAAGGAATCAAAACGATAATTATTATTTTGAAAACTTAAGGGTATTTTCACCTTCGTATGTACTGTTAAATTTGATTGGCTCTGACAAATATTCCATTTTCACTTCGGAGTAAATGAAAATGAAATATTTGTCTGAGCCAATCAACTTTGAAGACATGACATTATTAATTAATTATTAATAATAATTACATTTTTATTAATAATAAATAACAAAAAATTAATAAAAAAATTTTTTTAAATTTTTTTTTATTCATAATAATAAAATAATTTAATACAGAACACTACTTTTATCTAATAACAATATTTCCTTTTTACCTACTACAAATAATTAACCTTCAATAGGTATTGTCAAATATTTCTACACCAACTAAAGCCATCTGTGCATTCCCAAGAAAACCTTTTTCTAACTACCAGACTAAAAGTTCTGAGAAGTAATAACAGATGGAACCTAAAACAAAATTTCAGGGACTTCAGGTTAAACTAGGTTCAATATTTATGTCATGTACCTGACGTTTATTTGTTTTTATCAAGAAAACTAGCTTCCTTGGTTATAATTTTCAAAGAAAAACAATTTTTACAATAGTGGAAAGTAAGCTTTAAATGTTTAAATATTTCTAAGTTGTCTAATGTTCAATATTTATTCAAAAAATTAGTAGTAATAGTTATTTAAATAATTAGTAGTAATATTTATTCAAATATTTATTACAACAAAAAAGTGAAAATTTTAACAAGACCTAAAAGATGCAAATGGAAATTGACGAATCTGGTCCATATTTAAATGATGTCTTTGAAAAAAACGAATGTACGAAAACAAATTGTCAAATTAATGGTACATTGGGACGAGGAGTTAATATTCAGAATGCCGAGGAATCATTTTTAGAATTGTAAGTAGAAGAAGGATTAAAATTAGATACGATTAGAAACTTCAGACTTTGAACAATAATTTATCCAATTTAAAGTAAATTCGACAGAATAATTTTTATCTTTTGAATTATTTTTGTAAAATTTTTTGTTCAAAAATTGTTTTTATAGATCAGACAGACTTTCCGTACCGGATGGAAACGTCGATCAAGAGGAATTAAACAACAATTGCTTTGAACAATTCATTTGCTCAAAGTGTAACATACCAAAACCAAGTGCCAGACTTCTTGATATTCACATTCAAGAAGATCATGACAATATTTTCTTCAAACTCCTATCGAAAAAGCAACCTATGGTAACACTTTATTTCCTAATATAAATAAATAAAAAATCCAAAAGAAAATCTAAAATAAAATTAATATAAATAAAATCTAAAGTCGAGAAAAAAAAGAATTTTTAAAAATATCTTTGTAAGGAAAATAAATTCAATAAATAAATAAATAAAAAATTCAAAAGAAAATTAATATAAATAAAATCTAAAATCGAGAAAAAAAAGAATTTTTAAAAATATTTTTGTAAGGAAAATAAATTCAATAAATAAATAAATAAAAATTTCAACAGAACAATAATGTAAATAAATCCCAAAATCGAGAAAAAAAGAATTTATTAAATATTAGTGTAAGAAAAAAAATATTCAAATAATAATAAAAATTTCAAAAGAAAAGTAATTGAAAATTTAGAAAAATTTTCTTCTAACAATTGTAATAGTATTATAATTGTATTTTTCTCTTTTTATTTTCAGTATGAATGCTACGTACAAAAATGTAATTTAAAATTCAACAGTCAATCCGAACGAGACGAACATTGTTCTTCTATTCACAAATATACAAAAAGTTTTGGCACTTTTCTACATCGGGGACAGTTGGAAAAATGGGAATCAATAAATACAATGAATGAACAAAATCTCTCACAAAAACGAAAACATAATGACGATTTTGAAAGTAATAAAAAAATAGCCTGCGAAACTAATGTAATCAATGAATTTCAAACCGAAGAATCTAAATCAACTTTGAAATTTGTTCCAAGACAAATTTTACTCGATAAAAATTCGGCAATGAATTTGCGAACTCATTTAGCATAATTGGACTTAATTTACAATAATATACTTTTGCAAAATTCTAACATAGACTGAATTTTAAATTAACAAAGAATATCGTAAAATTAATTTTATTTCAATTTTAATTTTTTTGGTTAAGTTTTAAATCAATTTATTTAATTATTTAATTAATAACTTAATATGAATTAATGAATTAAATTTAATAATTCTGTAAAAATGTTGACTAAATATTGGGTATAGAAATTGTTAATATATTATACTTATAATGATCATAATATTTATTTCGTCATTCATTTATTCTATCCACACCTAAAATTAATAATTTCTGGGTATTTTTTTAATTTTAACAGTCAAAATTTTGATTTTCAAATAATTTTTTCTAATTTTTAAATATATTTCCTTCTTTCTTTCTATTTTTAAAAATTGTAATAAATATCTTCAAAATATGAAATTTGTCTCAATAAAATTTGACGAAATCTCTACTTTTGTTTAAAATTTTTTCAATTTATTATTTTCGGGAATTCATCTTGCAGAAATTATAATTAAAATTTATCAAAAAAATAATTATTTCAGAATTTCTAAAGTTTATTCAATGCCTTAGTAATTTTGTTAAATTATTTTAAATATATTTAAATTATTAAAATTATTACTAATTATAATAATAATTAAATTTTAGAAAATTTGAAATTGTAATTTTCATAAAATTTTAATTCTCGTGGAAAAATTACAATTTTAATTCAAATTTATTTTTCAACAAAATTTAAAAATTTTAAACTTCCAATTGCAAATCTTCTGGAATTTAATTATTTCTAAATACAAATAATTCTAATAATTTGAAAAAAAGGAAAGTTTATTTACAATACGTCTAAAATTCGAAATGTTTCAAAAAAACTAAGTCCTTCAGAATTTTTAATTTTAATTATTGAAAATTAAAATTTTCCCAAAAAATTTTAAATTAGAGGGTTCTTAAACTGTAATTTAATTTTATTGCAATTTGTGGAAAAAAATTTTAAAAATTGCATTTTATTAAAATTGAGAAAGTAATACAATCTAAGACTTATATTATTTTTTTTCAAATTTCGAAAGTAAAAAGTATTAAATTTCACTAATTTTTAAATATTTAAATAGTGATGTAATTAAATATTCAATTAGTATTTACTTTAATTGATTTAATTTTGAATTTAAATTAAAAATTCTTTTTTTACTATTTAGTACTTTTGAGATTTAAAATTTTACCTTGCTTTGAAAATTGTTTAAAATTTTTTAATTTGCAACAAAAATATTTTTTAGAAAACAATTTTTAATTACGAACGATATAATTAATATAAGTCATAATTAATTAATTAATATTAATATTAAGTAATGTTTGAAAAAAAATTGAAAATTGCATAAAATTACGCAAAATAATAAATTTACAAATATAAATTCACAAAAAATTTGTTTACTTTTATTATAAATATATCTTAAATATTATAACAAACTTTGTATATACATAGGAACATTTATTCGGAGATCAATCATATACTTAATGTCTAAATTAAAATCTTATATTTACAATTGTCACTTAATCGCTACTGACTATGAAGACCATATATATAAGTATAAAAAAATCCACTCTGCTCATTAAAAATATTTTCGATTCGAATTCAATCATGTTTTCTTATACATTAATAACATCAGTCTAATATCAGTCTTCTACTCAATCCCTGAAAATTCCATTTCTATTTTTTTTTTTATTTATTTATTTTTTTTTTGAGACAAAAGAAAACTGCGTTTTCCTCATTTCACAGCTTTGTAATTTTTTTTTCATTTTTTTGGTCTGAATTCTAATCTATATACAATTGAGTGTAAAAAATTTTTTTCATTAAACAAATTCAAGATCCTCTCATAAATTTTAATCAAAGTTACAAGTTTTTTTAAAAATAGAATTATAAAATTAATCTGAACAAAGTAGAATCTTAAACTGAAATTCTTAATTTTCTATTTATTATTTAAACCATTAAAAATGGTTTTCTTTTCTTTTTTGTCAAAATGATTATTTTTAATTGTTCCTCCAATAAAAAGGACATGGAGAAAAATTTCACAGCTCTTTGACGTTAATACTCGTTTAGTGAAAACTTTCTAACTCTCCAACTTTGGTGACAATTTTTGTTTCAAGCGTAAAAAAAATTGCATTTTTTATAATTCAAATATTTTTTTAAAAAATACAAAATAGTTATAAACAGTGATAGAAAAAAATCCTCGAGAAGAAAGAATTGCCAAATTGTAGATTAATTTTACCTAACTAAAAATAGGTATTATTTTAATTGCAATTGTTATTTTTTTAAATTACCAGTTTTTGTTTTTAAATTATCAGTTTTTGAATAATTATTTATCATTAATTTAATTTCAGTCTAATAGAAAATCAATTATAGAAAAAATTTCAAGAAAGAAAGAAAGAAAAAATTTTCAAACATTTAACAATTATACTATAAATTTTTATAGCATAATGATTAAATTAAATTCTTTCATTTCGAATAAAAAAGCCATTAATTAAATAGCTTACTTTGTTAACTTCCTTTTTTTATAGTGAATAATTAATTGCCATTTGATAAGTATCTCTCTACAATCGGCTAAGCCCTTCTTTGGGACTTCCTTAAATAATAATGTTTACATTATTTCTCAAAAATTCCTACCGATGAATTAATTAATTAAAATGATTTAATAATGATAATAATTAAGTGTGTGCAATGAAATAAATAACTATGAGAATTATCGAAAAAGATACGTATTAAAAAAAAAGTTCCCTCCCTCAGCGTGCCAGCGACTAAGTTTCAGGATGACTTCAAAAAAAAAATCATAATAACAAAATAATTTTTTTCGGAATTTTCGGCAAGGGATTAGATAGTTCCTTACCTAACCCGATAATGTTTTTATCCCTAAACTAATATAAATTAATTATTTTCTACCACTGTCTATAACTAGTTCACAAAAAAACAACTATAAATATTCATTTTAAACAATGAAACATAATTTTCATGTCATTTTCTTAAAAAAAAAAAAAAATAGAACAACAAAAAAAGAAAAAAAATAACGAAGAAAAAAGAAGAAATGGATTGTAGAGAGCAAGTTTTCCTAAAGAGTGAATTCTTAATTTGAGTATATCATACATCTTAGTTTTGCTGTTTCATTTCTCAGGGCAACCAACTCATACTTAAGTTTCAAATTTTCCTGTTCAAGGAAAGCTGCTCTTATTGCTATTTCATCTTCTTTAGCTCGTCTCGCGTCCCTCGAGCGTTTAGCGGCCTCGTTATTTTTTTTTCTTCTCTCCCAATAAGCTGCATCTTTTTCGTCCATGGTGCTGGTTGGCAATCCTGGACTTTTCGACACCCTGCAAGCGAAAGAAATTTGTTAATTAGTTGATTAGTTAAATAAAATTAAAATTATAATATTAAATCTAATTTTTAATTTATTTTTTAACTAAATTAAAATTAAAAATTAAATCAAAATTAAAAAATTAGTTGAACTAATTAATAGTAAATTAATTATTGCTACAATTTGATTGGAGTAAAAAAATTAGGCTAATTAAAAAAAATAAGCTAATTTTCATGATTTAATTTAGTTAAAAGCTCTCGTAAAGTATTTTTAACTGTTAACCTATTGTAAAAAAATTTAAATCAGTTCAAGTTTCCATTAAGTTGAATTTTAAGCTTTACAATGTTAATTAATTACAATTTTTATTTAGCAGAATTATCAGAATTTTTATTAATAATATTCTAATTTTTTTATTTTACTATTTTTTTCTCTTTTTTTTTTGTTCTAATTTATCTAATTCGTCCAAATTATAATTTTATTTCTAATTATTTATAAATTAAATAAAAATAAATAGTAATAAACTTTTAATAAAAATTGATCGAAGAAAAACTTTAATTTAGTTTTAATTAAATTTAAATTTAATTTAATTAAATAAAAATTCCACTCATTGGAATTTCAGCCAAATTATTAGTTCATCAATTTGGTTAAATCAAAATTCAACTATGGTAAAATTTTGCTGAATAAATATTTAGCTGAATAAAAATTTTGCGAGAAAAAAAATTCAATTTAATAAAAAAACTCTCAAAAAATATTATTTGAATAAAAATTCCGCTCTTTGAAATTTTAGCCAAATTATAATTAGTTAATTAATTAGAAATTTTCGTTAAATTTAAATTCAACTAAGGGGAAATTTTTTCTGAATGAAAATTTAGCTAAACAAAAATTTCGCGAGAAAAAAAATTTACTCTTATAAAAAGTCCTAGCAGAAACAAATTTAATTTTATTAAAAGCTCTCGTAAAAATTTAATGAAATAAAAATTCCGCTAAATGGAATTTTAGTCAAATAATTAGTTCATTAATTGCTAATTTAAATAAATAAAAATTCGGCTAAAGAAAAATTTTGCTAAATAAAAATTCAGCTAAAGAAAAATTTTGCTAAATAAAAATTCAGCTGAAGAAAAATTTTGCTAAATAAAAATTCAGCTAAAGGAAAAGTTTTCTAAATAAAAATTCAGCTGAAGAAAAATTTTGCTAAACAAAAATTCAGCTAAAGGAAAATTTTGCCAAATAAAAATTAAATTCAATAAAATATTCTTGAATAAAAATCCAGTTGAATCAAAACATGAAATAAAAAATTGAGTTGAAAAAGTGAAAATAAAAAAAATAATTTGCAAAAGTTCAGATATCGAAAAATACGAAAAAATAAAAATGAAAACAATAGCTCACCTCCTCATTTTAATATTCGTCCCCTCATTACTCCTTCTCACAGAGTCGAGCATCTTTTTCCGGAACTCCGAATACGCATCATTCGAATTTTGATCGTATATCAATTCCGAAACAACGCTCAACGAAAGTGGATCTTTGGGGTAAGCTTTAAATGGTCTTGCCGATTTTTTGCATTCAGGTGTCGACATTGTCGTTGTCGCAGGATCCTGTGTTGTCGACGTTGCATTTGGCATTTGAATTTGTGGCACTAAATGACTATTGCTATTACTATTATTATTATTATGACTGCTACTATTATTATTATTGTTACTATTCTGAACAATAATTGATGGTAACATAGTTGGCACTGTTGGTACAACTGTTTGTTGTTGTTGTTGTTGTTGTTGTTGTTGTTGTTGTCCAACTGATGGTAAAATTGGCACTGGTATGTGAATCGGTGGACTATTCATATAATTATTGTGCGCCAAATGATCAATTGAATGTAAACTGATTGCAGTGGTGTAGGTTTGTTCGAATTTTGGTTTTTTTGGTGATTCCTCTTCGGAAGGCGGTGTCACCATATAACTGCGCACTTCAAATGGATTCTCTCTTCTTTCACTTGAACATGATAAATTTGCCGCTTGCGTTTGTTCCTCATTTGACGAATTAAATGACGAATCGGAATATGTATCGCGTTGAATGCGATTCACGTAATTTGTCGTGATTATTGGTTGTTTCTTGCACGAGAGATCCAATACTGGTTGCTCTGTCTGTAACAAAAAAAGCAAAAATTAAATATTTATTAATTAAAATTAAATTAAATATTTATTAATTAAAATTAAATTAAATATTTATTAATTAAAACAAAATTAAATATTTATTATTAGAACCAAATTAAATATTTAATAATTAAAATAAAATTAAATAAATAGTTTTTCTAAGGATATCAAATTGAGACAACAAAACGAATCAAATTAATTATTTTTTACTTTATTTTTTATTAATTAATTTTTTCTTTTAATTAGAAAAAGACGCTTACCTTCACTATTGGATTTTTCATTTTTGAAGTAAAATCCAAAGCCTGAAAGTCTACAGCCGTTGGCAGGTACGAATTCATCTTTTCAACTGCAAAAAATTCAATGATGACGATTAATTAACGAATTACTATTGTAATTAAAAAAAATCCAGTACTATTATTATTGCTTTAATAATAATTATTATTAGCATTATTATTTTTTATCAGTATTATTATTGTTATTATTATTAAACATTATTAACTTTCGTATAGTCTTAAATTACATATTGTTTTGAGTTCAAAGAAAATTGTTTTTGTTAAATATTTCAGCGACAATAAAATTTTATTAAATTACCAAATGGCATTTAGTGGGAAGAAAAGAATTTTAACTGTATAATTAAAATTCAGGTACTTTTAGGATTCTCTTTAGAAAAAAATAATTCTCGTCCACCCGCAATTTGCAAAGTGAAAATTATCCCAGGACCACCCGATGAGGCAGTAAAATTCGAAATTAGGCCAATTGTAAAGAACAATTATACTTTGCTCCAATATTACGAAACATAGAATTTTTTCTATTCCTTTTGAAAATAGGTAGAAATTTTACAACACAAAACAATTTTGTTTGCCCTAAAATGTCACTTAAAAATTCAACAAGACTTGAATCGTTAATTTTTCATTATTAATCAAAATTAACAATGACAAAAATAAAATTGAAAAAGAATTAATAAAAAAAGTAATAAAACTAAAAAAATAGAAATAATAATAGTAATTATAATAGTAACAACAGTAGCAATAATAGACGAAAAAAAATTTTTATCTGGAACAGCGATAAGTTTCTCTAGAATAACGAAAGTTTTAACTGAAACAACTAAAAATTTGGCTAATCTATCGAAATTTGTAGCTGTTCCAGGCGAATATTTTTTTTCCGTGTTTTGAAAGACAGTAGACAAAAAAAGGAAAAAAAAATAAAAATTTAATTTTTATGGTAAGAAAACAATAGATAACAATATTTTTCAATTTTGAAAGAAAGTAAACAGAAAAAAATAGCAGCAAACAAAAAAAAAGTAAATAAAATTCAGAAAAAAGTGATTTAAAAAAATTCGATTCATAACAGAAATGGCGAAAAAAGAGAGGTAAACATTTTTTCAACTCTCAGTGTCACGAGCAACTTCCGATTATAATATATGTTATGAAAGATAGAATTTAAAAGATGGACAAACTGATGACAATGATCTTGAAATCGAGTTCATTACCCTTCACTTGTACTAAAGGATCATAAATTATATTTACATTTCAAAGCGATTACGTAATAGAGATAATCAAAATATTATAAGGCCGTATAAACTTGAAATTAGAACCTACAACTTTTTCAAAGTGAAATAATATTTATATCGAAAATAAAAAAATTGCCAACAATGACAAAACAAAATATGAATTAAAATTTAGCGAAATTTTTGAAAAATTGTGAATTTCAATTATTGAAATCAAATCGAAAATTGAAATTATATTTTAAGTGTCCAAAAAAATATGCATTAAAATTCAAGTGAACTGTCGAAAATTGCGAATTTGAATTTAATTATTGAATTCTTTAAAATAGTCATTTTAATTAAAAATCGAATTTCTTAAAATTGTAATTTTAATTGCAAATCAAATTATTGAAAATAAAAATTTTAATTGAAAATTTTTGAAAAGAAAATAAAAACAAATGTAAAAAACTATAAACAAAATTAATTATAGAAAGAAATATAAATAAATCGACAGCAAAAATAAAGTAGACAAAAAATACTACAAATTTGTAAAATTTCGAATTGCACTGTTACACTTACATCACTTTTTATTGTTACTAATAATAATAATCAATAAGTACTGTTAATAATTGTTAATAAAAACTTTAAAAAAACGCAATGCGAAAAAAGCACAAAATTCACAACTATTTTGCGTATCTTAATATTGTTTTTCTCTTGACACAAAAATATATTTCACTTCAAAATCAAAAAACTAAAGAAAAAATTTTCAAGAAACAATTTAAAAAATTATTATTAATATTATTATTATTGAAAAATAAACAAGAAAAATGCAAAACTGAGAGTACTTACCTATTTAATAAATCCCAAATTCACAAGAAACACACAACAAGGTGACGATGTTTCGTCTACCAATGACTTTTCGAAACTGAACAGACACGAAACGAAGTAAACCGAACTACAGAACTACTTAAGACCTGAACTACCAAAAAGGACACCGGAAACTTAAATAGAGGAGGAGACGACGGTTTCTCTATTTCCACTGTGAACCATTTACTCTATTCGAGGTAAAAATCGGTTTCAGAGAGGGTGGGATTTTGCTTATATATGCACGCAGTCCCAAAAATTCTTGGGAGTGGGGGTAAGAAAAATTGTGGGCGGGGAATGGTTAACCACAGTGGTAGGGTTGGCACGTGCCAATCAATGCTCTTTTCCAAGTATTTTTTTTTCAATTTTCTATACACAATATTGAGTACACTTCAAGAATCACTTTTCACTTTCAAAATATATACGTGGAGAATTATTTTTTCTATATCGTAAAGCAATTGCTTTACGATATAAAAAAAATAATTCTCCACGTTTACCACGTGTATATATAAATATAATTAGAATATTATATTTACTGAAAATAATAACAATAGGTAGAATATTGTATTTACTGAAAATAATAACAATAATTAAAATATTATAATTATTGTATTTTTTTAACAATTATTTAATTATGAATAATTATTATTTATAATTAATTATTTGTAGACGAGAGAAGCCTTTCGTGCAAATACTACTCCTAAATTATTTTAATGAAAAAAAATTTTTATTTGTTACAAATAACCGAATACTTGTCTAAATTATGAATTAAATATTTGCCTGAATCAAATAAATGTTTGTCTAAATCAAATAAATTTTATTTGAACGAATATTTTAGTATTTGAAACAATTATGATTTAATTGACTCTAAAATTATTCGATACAAATAAATATTTATTTTATAATAGAAAAGTAATGGTTTCTTTAAAACAAAAAAAATTTTTCTTTCATTGTACTATTATAATAATAAATTTTAAAAAATGTTGTGATTCTATAACAATTTTTGGCATTATTTTCAATTATCATTAGTGTGATGATTATTAAAATCATAATTGTTGTAGCTAGCAACAATTATTAACTAGTTAATAATAATAATTATTAACTAAATAAAAAAATAAAATAAAAATTATTAGCAAATTTATATAAATATTTATATTTACTGAAAATTAATAATAATGAAATCAGTTAATTATTATTATTGTTATTATTTGCAATAACTATAATAAATTATTCTTCTTAACTTATTTCGAATAGGAAAAAATTTCCGGCGGCGCATAGTAAATATTAAATCTTATATTAAATTGAATCATGTGAAAATTATGTTCTTTAAAAAAAATTACAACAAAAATAAATTAAAATATTGCTATTTAAATTGAAACTAATTTCCAGTCTTAAAATAAGCTTTTTTAAATAATTTTATAAAAAAAACTATATAAAAAAAAATTTATAAAAGTTGACAAAATATTATTTTACAAAGATTTTAAAGAAAAAAGTCTTATTTGATATCGCTCTTATTCTCAGTTATTTTTATCTTTAATTCAATTTAGAAATAATTGAAAAAAATCCATGAAAAAAAATTTACTTGGAACAGCGAAAAGTTTCTTTAAAATAGAAAAATTCTCAACTGAAACAACTAAAATTTTCGCTAATATAGTAAAATTTGTAGCTGCCAATGCAACTTTCATTTTACTTAATTAACTAAATTTTAGTTTAAATTAACACAAACCTCAATTTCAAAAAAGCGTTAAATTTACGGCGCATCTTAAATTAAAATTTTCTTTTCAAAATGTGTGAAAAGAAAAATGCACAATAAATAAGTTATAGAAAAAGTATAAAAAATAAATTGAAAATTAAATAAAATAAAAATTAAATTGAAAATTAAATGAAATATAAATTGAATTGAAAATTAAATTTAAATTTAAATGAAATAAAAATTGACTTAAAAAAATATAAAAATAGAATAAAAAAATTATTGTAACATACCACTTGAAGATTCCTCCAAAGATTCCAAAGAAAACGTCTTTTCGCTTTTTGCATTTTCACCAAATTTCCACGATCACTTAGTAATTATTTTCCTGCAAAACAAAATCCAAAAAGAAAAATTTACAAAAATTGTTTTAAAAAATCCCCAAAAATAAAACTATTACAATTTTATTGCATTTTTTTTTCCTTATGCAATTCTAAAGCAAAAAAATAAATCAACCACCAAAAAAAAGAGAAACAACACAATGAGGCTTAAAGAATAATATCATAAACAAACGACTATTCCGAAAAAAGAAATTTTTAATTTATAACACAGATTTTTAAAAGCAAATCCAATAAAAATAAGTGGGTTTTTCCTCTTTTTTTGCGGGTTCAGACCGACAAAAAGTTTTATTAACGCAGCGGTTCAAGAAAATTGTCAAGAAAAACATTGTATACAAGAAGCTACTGCCCCTTTTTTATGGTATGGTTTCAAGAACAGACGTTTTAAAAATCTTTCTGTCACTCAATTTTATTGGTGAATAATATAAGAAAGAAAAAGTGCAAAACATTTCTCATAATGGCTCAAGAAATTATACAGTATATAAATTTAAATGGAAACTTATCTGTGGAAAATGCCAAGTTTCACTTTTTTTCACTCTTTTTCCTGCTGTGAAAATACAAGTGCAAAAAGAATTTTAGAAACATATGTTTTTCTCAACAATTTACTTCACCAAAAAAACATTTTTTTTTTGACAATTTTTGTTAAATGCGTTAGAATGACATTTCTTTAATTAATTTTTTTGAGAATAGAACAAAAAAAATCGAATAATTTTCATTTTTTACCAAATTATTATTATATTAACTTACTTTTTTTATCAAAATTAAAATATTTAAAAATTAGTTGCATAAAATTAATAATTTTCCTTAATTAAAATCCATTCAATAAAAATTTTTCTAAATAAAAGTGTTATTAATTTAAAAACTATAAACTATTTACTATTTTTAAGGAAAATTGGCTAAATATTTTGTTAAGAAATACGAAACGTGTGAAATAAAAATTTAACCAAGTGCTCATTCGGCTAAATAAAAATCCTGACAAATAAAAATTCTACTGAATAAAAAATCTGCTAAATGAAAAGTTTAGTAAATGACAATTCAGCTAATTTGGGCAAAAAATAAGAAACATACCAAAAAAATCTGCCAAACAAAAATTCTAGTAAATGGAAACCTAAAAAAAATCCAACTAAATAAAAAATTGCTAATAGGAAATTTTACTGAATGCCCGTTCGTCTAAATATTCTGCTAAAAAGTAAGAAAAATGTCAAATAAAAATTCTACCAAACGATCATTCGGCCTAATAAATTTCATAACAAATGAAAATTCTGCTAAATAAAAATTTTACTAAATGACAATTCGGTTAAATATTTCTCTAAAATTACGAAACATTTTGAATAAAAATTCTAGTAAATGCTCATTCGGCTTAATAAAAATCCTACCTGATAAAGATTCTGGAGAATGAAAATTTTCGTAAATAAAATTCTACTAAATAAAAAATTTGCTAAAATAAAATTTTACTAATTGCCTATTCGGCTAAATATTTTGCTGAAACTTAAGAAAAAAATTTAAGCAAAAATTCTACTAAATGCTTATTTGGGTTAAAAAAATTATACCAAAAAATAAAAATTTTGGTAAATAAAAATTATACTAATTAAAAATTTTTTTAAATACTAATATTGTTAAACATTCTGCTAAAAGCTATAAAACATGTCAAATAAAAATTCTATCAAATGTGCATTCGGCCTAATAAAAATCAAAACAAATAAAAATTCTAATAAATAAAAACTATTTACTAGCAGAAATATTATTTACAGGAATTTTTATTTACTAGAATTTTTATTTGTTATGATTTTCATTAGGCCGAATGTGCATTTAGTAGAATTATTATTATTTTTCATGTTTCTTAGTCTTTGGCGTTTAGTAAATTTTCAATTAATAGAAATTTTATTTATACAATATTTCTACTAATTGATAATTTACTTTTATTTACATAAAATTTCTATTAATTGAAAATTTACTAAATGCCAAAGACTAAGAAACATGAAGAATAATAATTCTACTAAATGTACATTCGGCCTAATAAAAATCATAACAAATAAAAATTCCTGTAAATAATATTTCTACTATTTGAAAATTATTCTAAACGCCAAATACTAAGAAAAATATAAAATAAAAATTCTACAAAATGATCATTCGGCTGAATAAAAATTAAAACAAAAATTCTAGTAAATAATAATTTTTGTAAATAAATTTTCTGTAAATTAAAATTCTACGAAATAAAAATTCTACTAAATTTGTGTCAAACGAAAATTTGTAAATTCCACTTAACAACAACTGATCCAAATAAAAATCAAAATCAATCTAATAATGATTTCAAAGAAATTTCATCATCATTTTAAAATTCAAAACAAAACAAAAAAAAAGTACATAAAATTTTACAACAAGAACATTTGCAAAGAAGATAAACGAATAAGTCAAAAACGTTTTGTTGAGAGAAAATAAATTATCACCATTATCGTAAAAGCCATTAGTAAAAATAGAATTTTTCGGAAGTCTTTCTCTTATGCAATAACGAAAGGACAAAGTTTAGTCCATTCTTTGAAAAATATGTCCTCTCTCCCGAAATAATGAACCGAACCGGTTGGATTAATCCGATCAGGTATCATTGACAATGGACTTTTTCTTAAAATCTATTTAACAATTCATATCCTTGGCCTACTAATTCCCTTAAAGTTCGGCAAAAGGGTTAAAAGTGAAAAGCGAATGTTATTACAAGGCGAAAGTTGCAATTCATTCCCGTGGAGAAAAGCGGAAGTCCAACAGTGTTCCTCTTGTTATGTGAATGTTTACTTTAACCCTTTCGGAGCCCATCCGACTTCTGTAATATTTCAAAATCTTTTTGTTTCTGGTCACTGGTACAGATTTATGGTATTTTCGTGCCTTTAACCCGTTCGCTTAAAATCGCGAATTTGCGTAAAGGCATCCTCACTTCTCATAAATTATAAAATGTTTCGACCTGTCCCGCTTAAAAGTTCATTGGAACGACGATATTTTCACTTATTTTAACATTCTCCAAGCTAAAGGGTTAAGGTCTTGAGAAATGTATACATATAGATGTTTGGAAAAGGCTTTTCTCGCATTTATGTTTACAATTGAATTTTTCTTAATGCGAAGAGAGAAATATCTTATTATTCG